CATATGGCACATGGTACCATATGGTTCAAAACCATAGAATTCATCTTCAGCTCCACTTCCATCAGTCTTAGAACTGTAAGTTTTGAAGAGGAGAGTCAAAATTCGCCCAGAGAGTGAGTGAGGAGTGAGAGCTTCCTTGCCGCCAGGCACGATGAACAAAGCTACTTTGCCGGCGTTCCCACAATGCCATGCGGGTGTCCAGATTTTTTCTATGGTGTGCACACTGACCACCCAGACCCATTCTCTCAGATGTAGGCCTACCAGCCTTCTCGAGCTAAATTCGACGCCGCTAGAATTTTGGCATAGATCTACAGTTTGGACCCTGAACGTAAAGCCGTAGATCTATGGGATGGACCCTGAAAGGTTTAAAATGGGAGTGTTAATGCAACATGGCATCAGTGAATCCTTGGTGATTGCCATGCTATTTGCTCTAACTGGCACTCAATTGAACTGGTGCTCCCACAGGGTACTAAGTGCTACCAGATTTTTTTAATACTGCGCACACTGAGTGCACAGACCCATTCTTTCATGTCTAGGCGACTCAAGCCAATTGTGCCAAATCTGAATGAATGAAAAATAAAACGCTGACCTACGTTCGGAGTGCTACATGTGCAAATGTAGATCTACATTTAGACAGTTTAACCCTTTGACTGTTTACGTCGTATATATACATCTTACGCGCAACTGTTTCTGACGTATTTATACGCATAAATTCTAGCGGCTTCAAATCGAGCGGGAGAAAGCTGGTAGGCCTACATGAGAGAGAATGGGTCTGAGTGGTGGGTATACACCCTGTGAAAAAAATCTGGGACTCAGTGGTGCATTGTGGGAACGCCATCTTTGTAGTCCATTTTCACCATGCCTCGCATTAAGAAGTTCCTCACTCCTTGGCGGACTGGAGGTCTTTTGTTCCCAAGTGATAGCTCTAACAGCGATGAAAGTGTCAGTGAAAGTGAATTCCATGGTTTTCAAGTGGGTGTGACCGAAAAAAGTGCCCAGGATAACGTAATTAGTGATGAAAACCCAGATGACCCATGACCTTCCACCTCTGGTGCTGGGCCGGCTCGTTCATGTTCACGTTCACCTTCACCTGTACCAGGACGAAAGAGGAAACTATTTGCCCATGTACAAGACTCAGATGTGAGCAGAGAAAGTGATAGTGACAGCGATTTCAAAGTTATTGAAAGCAGTTCTAGTTGTGCCAGTGAGGGTGAATATTCCCCAGTGAAGCGGCAGTATATACGACGTAGCATGAGGTCTGGTAGTGTTTCATATGCTGTTCCAAGGGGAAGGAGTAAATCTCGGAGCACATCCCGTGGCCCTACACCATGACCTGATAGTGAAGATGACGATATTGTTACGATGGGTATGAATGATGTGAGTGAGGCAGCAGGCGGTGGTGGTGATAGTGATGGTGGCATGAGTCATGTGGCACCGGCAGCGAGCCACGCTACTACCCATGCTACTACCCACGCTGCTGACTCTGCACAACCAGCCTCACCCAATCATACACTCCCACAACAACCACAACCACAACCTGCACAACCACGTTTCAATATCCAGAACCCACCAGCAGACCGCATCTGGGATTGGCAGGAAGGTGACGAGTTTGTTCCCAGTCCCCACGACTTTGATGAAACACAAAGTGGAATACGGCCATCGTGTACACTTGTGAACAATGCTACTGAACTGGAATGCTTTCGGTTATTCTTCGATGAACCCCTGATGGACATTATTGTCAGGGAAACCAACACATACTATGAGTACAGCATGGCAAATACAATTCTCTCACCAAGATCACGGCTACACCAGTGGAAGGACACAACTGTGGCAGAGATATACCTGTTTTTTGCCACAATAATGCTTATGCCACATGTGTATAAGCACACTGTCACCACATACTGGGCAACAGAATGCCTGACTTCAACTCCAGGTTTTAGTGACATTATAGGTGTGAATCGTTTTCTGATACTGTTACGTATGTTACACTTTTCAGACAAAACAAGGCCTGACAGAAGCGACAGGTTATATAAGATCAGAAATGTGTTTATGTACCTGAAACAAAAGTGTTGCATGTATTTTTATCCCTTCACGAAGCTTGTTATTGACGAGTCTTTGATTTTATTCAAAGGAAGACTCTCATTCAAGCAATACATACCAAGCAAGAGGAAACGCTTTGGTATAAAGTTATTTGTACTGTGTGATTGCAAAAGTGGTCTCGTTTTGGATACCATTGTGTACACTGGCAGCAATACATTGAGAGATACCAGGAAGTTATTGGGTATCTCTGGTGATGTGGTTCGAACAATGATGGAACCATATCTTTGTAAGGGGCATATATTATTTACTGATAACTGGTACACAAGCCCCATACTCAGTGATTTCTTGCGAGTGAACCTGACAGACGTGTGTGGCACAGTGCGCGCTAATCGTAAACATATGCCAAGGTTCGACGCTGGCACTCGCAGAGGTGATGTGCAAGCCTTTGATGCCAATGACATCATGGCATTTCGGTGGCATGACAAATGTGATGTCACATTGTTGACATCAGTTCACCGAAACAAAATGGCACATACTGGCAGGCACAATAGAGAGACCAATGAACCCATTCTAAAACCTGCAGCTCTCATGGACTACAACCTCAATATGCGCTTAGTGGACAAATGTGACATGCAGATTGGGTTTGCTGATTGTGTACGCAAGAGTTATAAGTGGTATATAAAACTTTTTTTCCATCTTGTTGATATTTCCATGCTAAATGCTTATAACATATATAAGTTGAGAACCAAGAGCATGCCAAAATATAGTGAATTTTGTTTGTCAGTCATAAGACAAATAATCGCCAAGTACCAAGGAGCAACACCTGCAATAGACCAGCGCCCACGAAATTAACAATGTACCATATGGTACCCTGTAACACATGATACCATGTACCATATGGTCAGTTAGAGATGCTGATGCCACCAGGCACCAGCCAAGACTGAGTGAGTGACGACGCAAGCTACCTAGTGACTCGGCAGTTTCCAAGACAAAGCGCTTTGTCATCCACCTCAAGGAACATGTCGAGTGGCTGTACATTTGTAAATATGTATAAAATAGAACATTACTAATATACAACATTTTTGCATATTTTTGTTGTAAACAATTATTGTAAACGAAATAATGATGAAAATATTAGTGTGTTTATTGTGTTGAATACAACAGTACCATACAGTACCATATGGTACAATGTACCATATGGTACCATTGCACCATATGGTACCATTGTATCATATGGTACCAATGTACCAAATGGTGCCATTGTATCATATTCTACCATATGGTATTGTTGTATCATGGTGCCACTGTATCATATGGTACCACTGTACCATATGGTACCATTGCACCCTATGGCACCATATAGTACTATATGGTACCATTGTATTCAACACAATAACCACACTAATATTTTCACTAATATTTAATGTATATTGTACACTTATACAATATACATTATACTGGTCTCATGGACCACAAATGTTACTAGAAAAAGAAAAAAAATTAGAAAAGAAAAGAAAGAAAGTATAAAAAACATTAAATAAAAAAATGCGATTTTGCGGAAGTCACTGTTGTTGCCGCCACCCGGTCATTTTTGGTCAACTTCTCGCCACTGTATCTCGGTAAGTATTGATCAGAATTTTTTTTTGTTTTATTACTTTCACAAAAATTTTATGTATTTTTAATTCTGTAAGAAAAAAAAATTTTTTTTTTTTCAAAATTTCTTGGACACTGGGGCACTCCTTCAGATTTTGGCCTTGGACCCTGAAAGGATTAAGAAGAGGTATGATAAAGCTCACGGAGCACGAAGAGTGATCAGGTAGCAGCCAGTTAAAGAGGTGGGGCCAGGAGCTGTGACTCAACCCCCACAACCACAACTAAGTGAATCTGTACTCACTCACTCTCACTCTCTCTCTCTCTCTCTCTCTCTCTCTCTCTCTCTCTCTCTCTATCTCTCTCACTCTCTCGTTTATTCGTTTTTATATCGTTTACTCACCTATAACCCTACATTAACCCTTTCAGGGTCCACAGGCCCTCTCAGAGACTTGTCCTCAGGGTCCCCCAAATTTAAAAAAAAAATTATTTTTTCTTATGAAAAGATAGAGAATCTTTTCCTGATCATAATGACACCAAAAGTATGAAATTTGATGGAAAACTTACGGAATTATGCTCTCGCGAAGTTAGCGGTCTCGACGATGTTTACGCATTGGCGATTTCGCCCAATTTGAGCCCTATTTTCGGCCAATTCCCGTGTACTAGTTGACAAAAATCATACCTCTTTCACTAGAACTCCATTTTTTCTGTCGAATGAGTATAAGAAACCACCCATTTACCGATTTCAACTATCCAATACAGTGGTCAGAATTTAGCAATTTTGCCAATTTCACGCAAATTTCAAAAGATGCCAATTTCCAAATAGGGTCCAGAATAAGCAAGAAAGATTCCTGGCACTAAAATAACATTTCCTCTGTTCATTAGTCACATCCCCACACTCCTCTTACATTCTTTTGCTTTCCATTTTGAAATTTTATTCTCACAAAAAATAGAAGATTTACTGTTATGCAGACTACTGCATTAGTGTAGAAATGGTATAAATAATATCAGCACACTCTTGAAAGAATATTAGATTCACCAGTTGATGTGTATTGGACGCTTAGCATGATTTGTTTACTTTTGTACTTTGGTAAAAATCAAACATTTCTGCTACTTTGAGCTCAATTTCAAGGTACTTTTCCTTGTAAAAACAGTCAAAATCATCTCAATTTCTGTAATATGTCTTCCATTCTATCAAATGAGACCAGGAAAACTAGAATACAACAATAAATGCCATACGAAAATACAGTGCAAAGTCGATGTTTTAATCCAAAAACACGGTCTAAGTATTTTTTTTTCTCATTACGCACTGTGCTGCAGGATTTTTTTTATACTGCGTACACTGACCACATAGACCCATTCTTTCATATGTAGGCCTACCAGCTTTCTCTCACTAGATTTGAAGGCGCTAGAATTTATGAGTACTAGTACGTCAAGGACCCTGGCACGTAAGCCGTACTAGTACGGCCGAAACCCTGAAAGGGTTAAGACTACAAATATTTTAAGGTAAGTAATGAATATACTGTGTGTGTATTCCACGTTTTATTGTGTTTTTTAATGCCTAGTTCTATTACTAACTTAATATAAGTTAGTGCAAACTTGTTGTCTGGCATTTGTAAGTGGAAAAAAAAATGGCGTTCCACTTTAAGGCGGTAGCCTGGAACCTAACCTGCCATATAAGTGGGGCACTACCGTAAAACTAAATTGCTTAAATTTCTGACTTACCTAAAGGAAACATTGTGTGTTGTAGGGAATTCTGTGAAATTTGACTCAGGAAGAAAGTTTGATCCTTGACTCGATCTATACTTCGTAACAGTCGGGCACCTGTTAAAAAAAAAGTGTT